CGTTTGCCCAAATCCAGAGCATATAGGGTTTACCAAGAGTGAGCCCTAAAGGAAACCACAGACTCTAGATGATAATGTAGGTTCATCAGTTGTAACAAATGCACCACTCTGATGGGAGATGCTGATAATGTGACAGGGAGCATGTGAGGAGGCAGGATGTAAGAAAGCAATCTCTGTACCTTCTGCCTAATTTTGCTATGAATTTAACAATGTTCTAAAAAATAATTTTTAAAAAATACACTACTATTTAAATGCGTTTTATCTAAACTTACTTGGATAAAGGTATACATCCTAACACTCTCCAACTGACCTTAAAGATACTATTATATAACAGTAATCACACAAAAATTATGACCCTGAAATATTAAGAAAATATCAGTTAGGTTTATCATACTTTGTTTCAGAAAATAAGGAACTGTACAATATCTTTTAAAACTGTTAAAATATAATTATAAAATGTAAATACATACTGCTAAAAAGCTGTTTGAGAGGTTTAAGAGCAGGGCTCAGGACTTGGGGCAATTAACTAAAAACTGTATGCATCATATCACAGAATGATAGCACAGAAGGAAGGCACTGTTGTCATACCATAATTCTGTGATTACTTCTATTCTGAAAGCTTACCACTTAGGGGCTATGGAACACAGGTTTTTATTAACACAAAGCAACTGGCAACTTATTTCTCAAATCCTACTCCTTTTATTCATGAATACTCAATAATAATTAAAAAATAAAAGACAACTTTACTTTAAGACACTTACTAAGAGAAATACATAGTATTTACTTAATCTCAAATGGCTTCAACAAGAGAAGACATAAAAAGAAAAAAAGCAATCCAAGGGAAGATTATTAAAAGAGGTTCAAAGCAGTTGACAAAGTCCTTAAAAAGATATTAAAAAGAAGATACTTGATAAGACACAATTAAAAACAATTATTCAACATGACAGTACGAAGAATGCTTCCATTAAAGCAGATCAAGAAAATCCACATCTGTCATCCACAGCTTTATTGAGATTTCATCTTGAACAGTGACTTAAGCAGGTATGAGAAATGAATCACTGATGCTAAATTCCACAATGTGATTTTACATTATTCTTCCAGTATAATATTAATATAATTTTTCCTTTTTAAATCTGATACAGTGCCCATTTCCACAAAAGAAAACTACATATAAGCCAGAAGAAAATGCTCCTCTGATCAAATTCTCTTATTTTGAAAAGTTCATAAGAATAGTAAGTCTTTGAATGCACAAGAATGAATGCATGAGTAAGAAAGCCTTAAAAGTTAACGACAAAAGTCCAGGCAAAGCAGGAAGGGAATAAATTATACATATACAAATTAAAATCACCACTAAAAGGTCATGTTTTCACTGTCCTTTTTTCTTTATCTCCTCCTGACTCCTCACAAAGCCAAGGGCTCAAAACTCAAAACACCACTAAATATTCCATGTTCACTGCCATCTCAAACTTATAGAATGCTTTAACTCTTCAGCACTCAAACTCATTCTACTTAAGCTTACTCTTTATTGGGGGAAAAAAAAAGGAACTAATGTAATCTGTGGAACATATTTTCTCTGTTTTTAACCTATCTACTCCCAAGTTCTACATCAAATTGAGAAGCAGGGCTTTTAAAATTGGGAGAAAGTAAGGATTAAAGCTTTTGTTCTTTGCAGTACTTGCCAAAGAAATAATTTTTTGTTTTCTTCATAAAAGAAGAGTAAAAAGAGATTATTACAATAGTTAAATACCATTTCCCAAGCTCTTAACACTTTCCCTAACAAGGACAAACATATCAGACTCATTTTGCCGTTTCTACAAATAGAACGCTGTTACATTTACCATTGTTCAGATGAAGAACACTAGGCCAAAAGGAAGTTGTGACTTCACGTCTCACAATAAAATGGAGGTGAACCTTTGTTAGTTGTTATAAAGTAGTCTGTTAATAACTACCATGAAATGAAAATTTCTCACAGATACTCTTCATGTAAACACAGATGTGTCTGGTTTTAACAGAAGACACAATCCTAAAAGTTATACATCCACACAATCACATTTTAAATGTATCAGGAAAGTGTGCTATTGAAAAGCACTCCTTCCACATACCATTAGTTTCCTTAAAGAAAGGAAAACTACATTTTTCAGGCATTTCAAATATCTGGAAAGAAAAAATGCCATGAACCTACTATCAGGCAAGCTATCCAGGAAGATGCCAAGTGGTACTTGGTTATGATTGAGACACTAAAGCAGGGACATACAGTTTATAGCAGATAGGTCTAGGGAGAATGGTGAGAGAAGCAGCTAAAATCAGGAATTAGAGATCGGATTAGATGAATTCCTAGATTCTTATATCCAGAATACATAAAGAATTCCTACAAATCAACAATAAAATGATGTACACATTGCAAAAGAAGATATACAATTGGTCATTAAGTACAAGAAGCAGTGCTCAGAATCATTAGTCACAGGAAAATAAAATACTACTACATACATTCACCAGATAAACTAGAACAAAAAAGACTGACAATACCAAATACTGTCAAGAATTTGAAACAAACAGAACTCTCATTCATTATTGGTAGAAACAGAAAAAGGTAAGAATGCTTTGGGGAACTGACTGGCAGTTTCCTATAATGTTAATACCTAGTATATGACACCCAAATTCCAAGCTTAGGTACTTACCCAAAAGAACTGAAAACATATGCATGTTACAAGATCTGCAAGGATGGCACAGCAGTTTTATTCATAATAGCAAAAAACTTAATAATCAAAATGCTCATCAACATTTGAATGGATAAACAATTTGTGGTGTATTTATGCAATGGAATACTACTCAGCTTTAAAAAGAAACAAACATGATTAACAGAGATAAATCTCATACATGTTAGACTGAGCAAAAGAAGTCAGATGATTTAATTAATATGAAGTAATAGAATCACCAAAACTACCCTATGGTGAGAGAAATCACTCCAACAGTTGCTTTTGGAATTTGACTGAGGAAGAGCAAGAAGGAAGTCTAGAGGGTGATGAATAGTGTTCTAAATCTTGAGAGTTGTGGGTTATACAGGTGTCTACATTTGTCAGTACTCAAATTATACACTCACATATTGCATACTTTACTCAATGTATATTTTACTTTAATTTTTAAAAGAACTCTTCAATAAAATAAGAATTATAAATAATGCAATTCTAGTAAGCTCGCTTTACAAGTGTTATCAGTTAGAATTCTGAAACTACACCGTAAATGTCCTAGACTTCTAAAAATGAGTAAATATATTAAAGTAATAGTAGTCGTATTTCTCAGTGTTGGCAAAGGAAGATATAATAGAGAAAAGGGAACGGAATTACAAATATGAAAAGGGAGGATATTACTTTGTGATATTAGATTGAAATTAGAAGTCAGTATAAACTCACGGTTTTTAATGGATGTTAACGTGTATATACGCATATATGTGTAGGCATATTTGTATGTTTACATACATATGTATATGTATATACACACAAATGAGTATGTACATATATATTTACACACACACACATTTCCTAATTCTGTTGCAGAAAGGGCCTAGAAGCAATAACATTCCAGTAGCAATAAGTATACCTAGTGCCTCAAAGTCTTGGTTTCTATATAGCATTATCCAATAAAAGGATCCAGGGCTTCTTAGAAAAATACCCATTTCTGGGCTAAAGCAGAGAAGCTATGAGATGAGACTGGAACAACTTGTTGCATAAGAAAGTAAAGAAGCATTCAAAGAATTATGAGAACATGCCAAGGGGACAGAGGAGAGCTTAAGGGAACAACCCGTAGCCAAATCTGGGACAATCTGAGCATCAAAAGAAATGATGATAGTAACAGACTATAATATATCCAATTAGATCAGAATCCAAGAGTCTATACTGATATAAGTCAATAAGCAAGGGAAGCAGGGAAAGCTTTTACCTACATTAGAATGTAAACTAGTAAATATATAAGGAATGATGGAGTTAAGCAATCATCGACTGATATTAAATCCAGTGGGTAAAATTTGATGAGAAACAACATTATTTACTTAATCTCAAAAATTGACTTAGAAATACTTCTTAATCATAAAGGAAAAATAAGAAAGTTCCAAGCGGAAATTTAGCAGACCCTACCCTAAGCAAGTGATCAAAGCTACTTGAAACCAAGTGGCATCATGTGCCTTCTGACACAATGCACTGAGAATACATCACTTCTACGATACTTGTGGTAAAACTGCATACCCAAATATAGTCATGAAGAAATATCAGAAAGACCCAGACTGAGAACATTCTACAAAATAGCCTATACTCCATAAAAATATTAAGGTCATGAACCATTAAAAAAAAAAAAGGCACGAATTGTTCCAGATTGAAAGAGACTAAAGAGATACAACAAATAGATGAAATATGTAATCCTGGATTGGATCCTAGATCAGGAGAAAAAAGCTGTAAGAAACCCTAAAGGTTGATACTACTTTACCCTTTTGACAAATAAGGAATCTACTTAAAAAGGTTAATAATTTGTCCCAAGTCACATAGCTAGCACATAGTAAACAGTACCTCTAACGTATGTACTCTCAGCATTCAGTGTATTAGGGCTGGCTATCTCCCTTGTTAGCTGTATCAGAGAGCTACAGTCTCAATCAGAAATCTTTACACACATTAAATTCAGTTAAACACACATTAAATTCAGTTAAAATTAAGTATTATCTCACATTCTTTAATGGAAGTAATCAACTGGATTACCCTAAGTGTATCAAACATTTCAAGTTATCACATAAAAAAGATATGGTGAATGTAAGGATAGCTCTCATTCATTTACTCTCAAGTAACTTGCTTTTAAAAGACTTTTATTAAATATAAATGAAAGTAAACTCTAGTTAAATGTGATAAATAAAAATTACAACAGAAGCATTATAACCTGCAGAAACTGAACCAACATAACAAATAAACACAGTTAGCATACAGAGTTCAAGCTTCTATACTCACAAAAGGTACACCTACCTTTTCCTAAATGTGTGTTTATACTCATATATCTAGCTGTTCCTGTAAGGCTCTTGTGTTCTCTGTATGGTATGTGTTTCTTTGTCTCTGGATCAATATACTCCTTTGCCAAACCAAAATCTATAATATGAATAACTTGCTGTGTTTTGTTTCCTGGTCGTCCTATTAAGAAGTTCTCAGGTTTTACATCTCTGTATATCAAGTTCTTCGAATGGACATATTCCATGCGAGAAATCTTGATTCAAAAAAAAAAAAAAAAAGATGAATTTTTATTTTAGTTTTTTGACTAGCAAAAAAAGTATGATTGTAGCAAGATAATTTTCACTATGGAAACAACATGAAAAAGAAAAAATCAGAAACTGTTTCAACTCTTTAAAAGTAACACATCAGTCTATAGTTTCTCTAATGTATGTCCAATTATGATTAAAAATCTATGTTTTTTACTATTATGGTCACATATAAAGTGCTTGAATTGAATTCCTTTCATATCAGCAGGCCTGATTCAATCAACACTTTAGATGATGCTACCTTATTGAATCGAAAATTCGTAGTTACAATTTATTCTTCCTTATCAGTTCAACAGTATGTAGCAACTTTTTAAATTATACTTAAGAAATTTAGAGTCTAAACTGTTAAATAAAAACAATTAACAGAGCACCCTTCAGTTATCTTTCTCTTTTAATAACTTGTTTTCTTTATATTTATCCTTAGGTATCGAACATTTAAAAAGATCTTGAGACTAGAAAATTTTGGAATTACAACTCTAATAATAATATAATACATTTTTATTAATTGTTTTATGTGTTCTCAAATAGGGTTCATGTAAACTGTCACAAAATAGAACATTACAAATAAATAAATAAAAGTGGTCCATTTAGTGACAATCATGGTTGAAATGCAATGTAAGTAAACATATAGTCACTTAGGCCATCTTTGTTTGTTAATAAATTTTGGATCATAAAATACAAAATATTCTACGATCTACACTTTTCATTAACAATACATTAGGAGGATTTTCCAGATCACGAAACAGTCTTTTAATATATGCATATTATTTTATGGCTATTAATAGCTGTTATTCCTGTGTATTTGGGTTGTTTCCCACTTTATTATAGATATCTTTGCACAAAAAGCTTTAAGTACATCTGAGTATTTCCACAGGATAAATTTGCAGAAGTGGAAATAATGAGTCAGTGGATAAAAACAATTTTAAGACTTCTGCAGCATACACCTATTGGCATTTATTTTAAAACTGCCTTAAAATCATCCTCTAAGTTGTTTCCCCATAGGCTCCCTGAAATTTAAATGATTTATAAGACTCTCTCATCAGTTTGTTTCTTCTTTTCCTAGGCCATTTTAATTTATTACCAGCAGTAAAAATCCATGTTTGTGAGAGTTCTCTTTTCTATGTATTCATTTTTGTACATGAAAAGAGTGCTGGAAACAACTGAATTCTCAAACTGAGCATTCAGACCTTAAAGCAGTAAGATATTAATTCTTTTATACAAATGAAATTCATCTGATTCAGTTAAATTATATTCATTGAAAACAGACAATGACATGAAAATCAGACATATTTTTATTAAGGTGAATGCTGGGTAAGATAACATCACAAAATGTTAAACTTTTTTTTTTAACTGAAGTACAATTTTTAATTTATTTACAATGTTGTGTTAGTTGCTGGTGTAAAGCACAGTAATTCAGTTACACATACATACATTCTTTTTCATTATAGGTTATTACATACTATAAAACAAACTTTTAATGTAAGTTAGTGACCAAACTATTGGTCATTTGAACAATTAAACAATTGTTCAAAAAACTTCAACACATCCTGCTTTACTTACCAGTTGGATAGCTATCATAAGAACCGTTTTAAGAGAAAATGTTCTGTCACACAAATCAAACAGATCTTCCAAACTAGGTCCCAGCAGTTCCAGCACCATAGCATTATATTTACCACAAGGGCCAAAATAGTAAACTTGAGGTATACCATCTGGGAGAAAAGAAAAAGGATTTTAATAATTTCATCATAATATCAAAACCTGCTTCCTAGAAAATAAATAAACAATTTTTAGTAATTTTGTAGTTTCAAGAACTGCAGCTGTATTTTTACTTTTTCCATACCAACAATAAATGTTTCCTGACCCAGCTTCCACCCTCCCTATGCCTTCCTGATGTTCACAGTGTAGCCTGATTACACCTCTACTGCGCCTGCAACACTGAACAGTGCTTCACTGCTGGTCTCCACCACAGAAAGGAACTGAGCACCTGAGCCTTATATTCCCATGGCCTAGAGAAACGCTTGGCACACAGGAAAGATTTTATTTTTACTGAACAAAGTAGTCACTGTAATTTTTAATAACCCTGTGGTAGGCATGATGCAAAGTTCAACTCCTAAGATTTCTATCCTCTGGTGTACACATCCAGTATAATCCTTTCCCCTAAACTGTGAGCAAGATTCCTAGATTTCATTCTCATCATTAGGTTATGTTACATGGCAAAGGTAATGTAATTAAGGCCCCTGTCCGTGGACTTTGAATTAATCAAAGGGAGATTATACTGGTGGGCCTGACCTGATCAGGTTAAGAGGTTTAAAAAGAGTCTATAAGTCAGAGATATTCAAAGCAGCAGAACAGCTCTCCTGCTGGCTTTAAAGATGCAGAGTGCCATGTTGTGAAAGAGAGTCACATGTCAGGAAATGGTGGGCAGGCTCTAGACATCAGGAGCCTCATCACAGAGCCATGGGGAGCTGAATTCTGTAAATAACCAGTGAGCTAGGAAGAGGACTCTGGGCCTCAGAAAAAGCCTGCAGTCCAGGCTTACACCTTGATTTCAGCTTGGCAAGACCCTCAACAAAGAACAAAGCTAATCCATGCCTACACTCACGACCCATAGATATCAGAAGGCAGTAAAGTTTCTTGTTCTATGACATCAATTACTAAATAATCCATTATCCAACAATACAAAATAACACAAACTCCAAATATAATGTCTAAATGCACTAAATGTATTTTACTTTTAGAACTAGCAGACTCCCAATAAATTAACATATAATAGATGATCATTTTAACACTGCATTTATCTATTTATTTGTTATAGGAAATGAATTTCTTCCGTCTTAAATGTGTTAGTTTTACTTACAAGTGTTTTTTGTTTGTCTGTTTTTAAATGATTTTAGAAGGAAAAAAAAATACTTCCTAAAATAAAATTTTAAAAATTTCCCATTCTTTTTAAAATAAAGAGTACAGGAAATACAATTTTATCCTTGCTGTTTATTCTAACTATCATTTGCATAACAAGTAGTAGATGGACAGAACAAAACCCTGAACTAGAAATCAGGATAACTAGGTTCTTAATTTGGCTTAACACTAACTATTCAACCTCTCAAGTAGGTTTCAGTTTATCTATAATATTAGTAGTAGAGATAAGACTAGTTTTTCTCAAATGTGAATGAGGGAGGCAGCAGAACAGCTGAAGATAGGAAAATAAGACAAAATAATCATGATGGCGTGAGGGAAGGGAGACAAGTTCAAACTGTATACATGGTCTCCTCTAAAAAAAGAGATTTTCATACACCCTCATGTGTATAGATCACCACACACAAACACCACACACACACACTTCCCGTTGCCACTGAGAATCACTATCCTAGCATGAGCCACTCTTACTACAGACATTCATATGTATATGACTTATATCTATACCCACTATGTTTAAAAGCAGATAAAAGACTCAGAAATAATGGATGAGAGACCTACTAAAGTTTATAACAACTCTGAAACACTGCTTTTACTACGCTATATACACTAAGAGCCTGGAGATGCAATTAAGACTTAACAACAGCTCTCAGCTACTAAATATTTAAAACTATTTTTATAATGCTTTTTCTCCCTCTATGCCACTGAAAGCATTAACTTTTATGCTCTTAATTTAGCAATTTCTAATAATCCATTTCCACTCATTAGTTTCTTGCTTCAGGTCATAAAGATCTTCACTAAACTCTGAAGAAGAATGGATGAACACAGTGAGAGTTTTAACAAAGACAGAAATATAGGAAAGTACCAAATAGGTTATAACTTAACTGAAAAATATATGAGAGGGGCTCAACAGTAGACTGGATGAGATGAAATAATGAATTAGCAAGCTGAAAGACAAAACAATTGAACTCATCCAAACAGAACAGCAAAATGAAAAAAAGAATTTTAAACAAGTCAAATTAACTTAAGAAACCTTTGAGACAGCATTAAGCAGAATAACATTGGCATTATAGAGATCCCAGATGAAGAACAGAGAGAAAAGGGACCAGAAAAATTATTTGAAGACATACAGCCAAAAAGTTCTGTAATCAAGGGAAGGGAACAGATATTCAGCTCTAGGAATTCCAGAGAGTTCCAAAAAAGATTAACCCAAAGAGACATACATCAAAACACATTATAATTAAAATGGTATAACTTAAGGATAAAGAGAGAATCCTGAAAGCAGCAAGAGAAAAATACTCTGTTACATACAAAGTAAACCCCACAAGACTATCATTAGATTTTTCAGTAGAAACTTTACAGGCCAGGAGTGAGTGGTATAACCAATCAAAGTACTAAAAGGAAAAAGCTACCAAGAATTCTCTACCTAGAAAGATTATCATTTGGAATTGAAGGAGAGAGCAAGAGTTTCCCAGATAGAAGCTAAAGGAGTTTATCACCACAAAACTGTCCTTAAAAGAAATATTTAAGAGATTTCTTAAGCTGAAAAGAAAAAGTACTAACTAATAAGAAAAAATACGTAAGTAAAAATCTCACTGGAAAAGGTAAATATATACTACAGTTAACGGATCAATCACATATAAAGCAACTAAGATGGCTAAAAGACAAAAGTAGTACATTTAAATTAAATTACAATAAGAAGTTAAGGGATGCATTAAAAAAACAGGTAAAAATGTGTCATCAAAGGTATAAAACACTGGGGGGAGGGCGAAGAGGAGAAAAAAGATAAAGCTTTGTAATGTGTTCAAGTTGTACCAGCTTAAAACAGGCTACTACTTATACAAGATGTTTTAAACCTTGCAGATTCAATGCAATCCCCATCAAATTCCAATGACCTATTTTACATAACTAGATCAAACAACCCTAAAATTTGTGTAGAACCACGGAAGACATCAAATAGGCAAACAATCTTGAGAAAGAACAAAGCTGAAGTTTATCACGCTCCCTGATTTCAAAATACAGCAAACTTTTAAACAAGGGTTTGAACTCCACTTACACATGTGTTTTTTCAACAGTAAATACTAGAGCCCTATACAATTTGAGGCTGGTTGAATCCAAGGATGCAGAACTGTGGATCAGGAGGAACTGCATATACCAAGGGCCAACTATAAGTTATATGTGGATTTTCAACTGCACAGAGGAAAGAGGAGAGAGGAAAGAAGAGAGAGGAGAATTATCAAAAATGTGACAGAGATATGAAGTGAAAAACATCAGTAAAGGGACAAATGGGAACTGCTTCAATTTTCTCTAAAATTTCCTTTTTTAATGGTTTCATAGTGTCTCAAAATTATTTATCTCTACCTTATTCAAGATGGCTAAATTTCATAAATAGCATAATAGTTCACTGAGTAAATAAAAGACATTTAATCTCCAATTTGAATACAAATACCTCAGCTTTATCACTCAACATAATTTTACATCTCAACACAGATCTCTGGTGGAAAAAAAAGATGATCTAACTCTAAATGATTCTCTGAGATAACATACTGTCTTACGAGTCAATGAATGCAAAAACTTCTTATGTAACTATCAATAATGTATTTCAACACAAATTGTATGTCATTGAAGTAAAGAATCAAGAATTATATATTTTTTAAAAATCAAGATATAAAGCAAACATGGTAAAGATCAAACTAAAATTTCATTTCCCAGAACGAGTCTGGTCAGTTGTCTAACACTGAGCAAACAAACTAAATTGCTATGAGTTAGAAAAAGTTGTAAATAACGACAGGTGCTGGGGAGTACCCTAAGCAAAAAGGAAGCAAGACAAAACCACAGTAATGTAAATATAATACGCAAGACCACAAGGAAGAAGGATTCTGAAACTGAGAGAAGTAAGGGACAAGAGGGCAAGAAAGAAGAGACAGAGGCTCAGAAAAAGGTTTAGAGCAAAGACTAACAAAGGTTTTAAGTGACTCTGTCTCTTAATCAAAGGTTTTGGCTACTGAATTGCATGAATGCAATCCAACTCATGGGAAAAAGCAAGCTTTTGTACTTGTTCTTATATCCAGTGAATTTTCAACTATAAACTTATACTCCACCCAGTTCCAATTGTTCTAGAAGTATTTTAGAGACTACTATAAAAAGCCATTGATTGTGAATTCATGAAAGTTAGTCTGATAACTTAAAAAAAATTTTAACACTATTTTTCTTGGGTTTTTATTTTATTTATTTATTATTTTTGGTAAGGGGAGGCTATTATTTATTTATGATTTTTTTTTTAATGGAGGTAGTGGGGATTGAATCCAGGACTTTGTGCATGCTAGCACGCACTCTACCACTGAGCTATATACCCTCTCCCCTGATAACTACTAACATCACTAATTTTCAGGGATGCTTATCAGCATCTCCAATTTTCAAGGCAAGTATATTTTTTCCTAAGAAAAGCTCAAGAATGGGCAAGAATACAAAAATTCACATATTATCTGAAAATACAACCTCACCCTCCCAAAATTAATTTTACTGAACATTTTATATCTCAGTATTTCATTTAAGTGATAAAATATTAATTAACTTAAGACACAAAACAACATTTGGAGTTCTAACGCTCTTAAAAAGTGCTTAGTACTTTAGCTCCTTATAGGTAGGCAATGGTTAAGCATATTATTAAAAGAAATATCACCATGATGTTTCTTTCAATTTTCAGGTCTGGTACTGTTCATGTAGGTAGGATTAGAACTAAAGCATTAAAATTCTTATCTGGAAATTTAAACTCTACAGATCCGGTCAAGAAAAA